CTTCGTCAATACAGTCAAAAATTTCTTCCCGTTCTGCTGACTAAACTAACATCTCTGCGTTTTGGCAGGGATGGACAGAAATGTAAATTGGGTGCTTCGGTGGTAGTCGTCTTCATGAGTTTCCAACTTCTTTTCGCCATCTTATTATTAATTTATTGTTTCTAGAATTTATTTGTCTTCTACTTTTGTTGAATTGTAATTTTTCTTTTGGTGGTATGTTCAAACGCGATTTCACCGGATAAATTTCAAAGTCTTTGAATTTCGATCATCGGCTATTTTTTATCTGTTTGCTTACTTTGGTGGTTCTGTTGTATGCGTTTTCTCATCAATACTATTATTGCAAGAAAGACGAAGAAGAGTTAAAACATATTTTTTCATAATTTTAAATTGGTTTATAAATGAATAAGAATATTAAATATTTAAAAGAAGGGTTTTGTTTTGGTTTATTAGTGTAAAAATTATTTTATCCAAACAGGAGAGGATGGTGGAATAATGTTGGTCTCTTGTAGAACGGTCAAAAGGCGTGTGGAGAAGCGATGATGTTGAGAAAGTTTTGAAACGGTGAAAGAAATATTTGAGAAAATTTGGTATAATCGGTTTTGGATTAAGATTGATTAAGTTGATTTGATAAATAATTTGGTATATTTTATTTAATAAGATTTGAGTTTGGTTGATTAAAGAAAAGATGAATGATATTAGTTGGAGATTGGTTTGGGGGATGTTGTGATGGATAGCGTCATACTCCATCCTTTGGATGATTAAGAGACGCATGTGGTAAAAATAATGTAGTGAATCCATTGGCGCAACTGGTTTTGGGAAGTTACAAGTTTGAAGCGAGGCTTGTTTCTTGGAAGAAAGGAAATAAATAAATAAAACAGCAGACTCAGACACAGTGGGCGCCTATGGTTTGGGGTTAAAAAACCTCTACTTATTTTTACACCTCATCTCTCTCGTGCTCAACGCGTTTTCAATCCCAAAAATATTCATGGAAGGGCCTTTTCCAAAGTTGTTCAACTGTGCAATAATTTTAACATAATTTAAATATGCTTTAACATTTGGTTTAATCCCACGTTTTTTTTAATGGGAACTTTTTTACGGAATTTTAAATAGATCTCTTAATTTTTTTTTCTCAATTAAATTTTCTTTTTCTAAAATTATTTCAATTAAAGTTTTATCATTAAATTAGGTTAACATCGTTAAATTAATGTTTTCCATGGTTATTGAAAATGTGAAAAATAACCTCAATGTTTTTTAAATGATATAGGTCAGTTATTTTGTTTTATGATTCTGACGTGTATTTATTTTTAATTAAAGAAATTGAAAAAAAATTTAATTAAAGTGAAGATTTTCTTTAAGTTAGGAATTAAAAAAAAGTGAGTATTTCTTTGAATTTGGTTTATTGATAAAAAGAAAAGTGAGTGTTTCTTTGAATCGGGAATCAATAAGAAAAAGTGAAGAGTAATTTTAGAAAATAAAGGTTTATAATAGTTTTAAATTAAATGTTTTTTGGGCTTTGGTAATTTTCGTGAGGTGTGAGATTCTGTTGGGAGCGCTAGACAAAAGCACGAGGCTGAAGCATGTGATCATTAGAGCTCAATCTTAAGTAAGGTCAATAATTATGTTTTTTTTTGTGGCTTTTTTATGGTTATACTATGTTTGTTTTGGGAAACCAGAATATTGGGTGGTAGTCCTTATGGTTGAAAATGTTTGCTTTGCGATGTGGTAATCTCCCATGTTTAAAGTTGTTTTACAGTGTGTGTTTGAGTGCGTTTGGTTATTGTTTTAATACATTTATTTTTTGTCGTGATATGTATACATCATAGGTGTAGAAATATTTATATAGTGTTGTGTGTAATGGATGAGGATATTGAGGTTATTTTTCACCATGGAGGGAAGTTCGTTAATGATGAGACCCTGAAGTATGAAGGAGAGACTTCTATATTGTCTTATAACCCAAATATATGGAGTTACTTTGTGATTGTTAGTGTAGTCAAAGGTTTAGGATATGTAGATTTTAAAGATTTATGGTACTTTGTAGGAGAGGGTTTAGTGTTGGAAGACATGTTGGAGCTTTTGTATGATGACACTGGTGCCATGCATATGGTTAACTTAGCTAGGCTTAATGGTCATGTTCATGTATTCGTGGTACATGATGTTTTTTAATCCCAAGTTACACACATGCTTGAATATATTAATGATGATGAAGGAGAACTGAAACCTGTGTTGCATGAGACTAATGAGTGTGTAGGTAAAGCTGATGGTCAATGTAAAGATGATATTAGAACACAAGAGAGGGGTGATTGTGTTGGTGAAATGGAAGGTGAGCCTCACATACAGGAAGAGGTCCATGAGGGTGAAAAAGATGGTGGTGTTTCAGAAAATCCAATTCCTTTTTATGGTGAAGTTGAATGGAGGGTGATTTAGAGCAAGAGGTGTGTGAGTGTGAATGAGTTGTGGAGGAGGAAGTTGATGTTCGTAGCTGGAGTTCCTCTAGTGACCATGGTAGTCTTGATGGAAATAGTCAGTGGTTGGAGGGGCTACTTGATGTCAATGTTGATTGTGATATAGATGATCGTATAGATGTAGAATCTAGTAATATGGAAGTAGAAGTTCAAAGTTTGTCACATGAATTTAGTGGAGCATGTTCGAGTGAGATGCCACACAACAACTTTGATGATAATGTAAGTTGGGGGAATGAGAGAGATTTGTCAGATGATGAGTGGCAATCTGAGGAATTAGTTAGTGGACCAGATGTGATGAAGAGGTTAATGATAGTGAGGGTTATGGGAAATTTGCAACCTTTTGTACGCCAAAAAGTATGGTAGATTTTAAATGGGAAATGGGGAGATATTTTGCTGAAAAGCAAGACATTTTAGAAGCTATCGAAGGCTATGCCTATTAGAAAATGGCAAAAATATTAAATTTGTCAAAAACGATAAAAGAAGATTGAGGTTAAAGTGCGTGAGAGCAAAAGGAAAATGTCCTTGAACGTTATATTTTGTTTATATGGAGACAATCAATACATTGTAGCTAAGATCTATTGTAGACAACCATATCTGCAATAGGGAGTTCAACCTGAGGTTACTTGATGCCAAGTGGTTGAGCAAAAAGTTAGAGAAAACAGTGAGAGAAATCCAAAAGTCTAGGGTGTAGATATTCGTTAAAAAATTTAAAGAAAATGAAACATTAGTATATCTAGGTGTATGACTTATGGCCAAAGCTATTGTTTCATATAAGATTCATGGGTCCTTTAAGGCATGAAAAGACAGTTTTGTCTCTTGTAGGCCAATAATTGGATTAGACAGAGCTTTCTTGAAAGGGAAGTATGGTGGGGAGTTGTTAACAGTTATTGGAAGAGATGCCAATGACCAAATGTTGCTTATTGCATTTGGTATGGTTGAAGTGGAAAACAAGGATTCATGGACCTGGTTTATAGAGCTATTGATTGATGACCTTCGTGGTGCTGAAGTATGTTCATAAATTACTTTTATGCCAGACCAACAAAAGGTAATAATGATCTAGACTTTGTAATTTTTGTATATTCATTCATTAATTATACTGTTTTAAAATCACATGGCCCACTTTTGGCTATACAAGAACTACTTTCTGGAGTTGATCAAAGATTTTGTGTACGACACTTGTATGTCAACTTCAAGAAGAAATATCCTGGCAAAAGCCTTAAGGGTCTAATGTGGAGGGCAGCTATAGCCACACACCCACAAACTTGGGAGATGAAGATATGAAACATTAAAGAACTGAACGAAGAGGCTTTTAAGCATTTGATAGTCATTCCTTCAAGGTTTGTGTTCATAACTTAACTCTTGTTAATATTTGTTTACGTGATTTGTTGTTGATATTACTTAAGATCAAGATTCATTACAACAACTAAATGTGACACTTTGGTGAACAATATGAGTGAGGCCTTCAATAGTTCTGGTTCATACCAAGAGTAAACCCATCATTACCATGTTAGATGACATCCAGGTTTACATCATGCAAAGATGGATAAGAAACACTTCAAAGATACAATCCTTCCCATAATCCATTTGTCTAAAAATCCAGACCAGATTTAGAAAGGAATCACAATTAACCAAACATTGAATTCCTAGGTAAACCTCATTCATTAGTTGTGAATTATGTTAAATTATTTATTTGGTTCATAAGTATGGTTGTTATTCTTTCTTAAAATGTCAACCAATAAACTATTTTAAGTTCGACACGTGTCATACAGTGTAAATTATACGTAGATATTTTTTGGCAGAATTTGCAGTTAATTATTAAAATATATTAATTTCAAAAATTAAAAATATTTTAAATATTATTTCCAATTTTATAAATTAATTACTTCATAATTAATCATTTTCAATTTTAATTTATATCCATTCTTATTAAAATTAAATCAAAGATACTTTTATAATTTATTATATCACGTAGTTAATCTTTTTTTTTTCACATCAATTAAACTCACAACAAACTTTTTTCTTCTTTTTCATAACTTTTTAATTCAAACAATTTTACTTTTACTAACTCTATACTATTTTTCCTTTTTTTTTTTCTTAACTTAGTGTGCAATCCAAACAAAACATAAGGATGAAATATTGAATCATTAGTCACCACAATCCACATCATTCATCCATATGCTTCCGAGTTATTTTTCTAGTTTTCAGATAGTAAGCGTGAATATAAACAATTACTTTGCCTCCAAAACTTCTTCTATAGAAGGAATTTGATGAATATAAACAGCTATTTATTAAAGAAAACAAATTGAAAAATAACTGAGTTGTCTTAGAAATCAATGTCGTAATATAACATTTTTTTGCATTCATGTCGTAAAATAATGATTTTAATTTGTCTGCGATTGCAAACGTTACTGTCACAATATAAAGTTTTTTTTTTACTGATAGCACTGCAATGCAATGTAGTTGACCCATAGAAATCCATTTTATTTGTAATTTTTTACTATCATGGTTCTATGATATATTTTAGGAACTTTTAGCCTGGGTATAAAGCATACGTACGTAATAGTATCAAAACAAGGTACTTTAATGTAGGCGATGGTGGAACAAGGAATCATTAGAACAAAACATTTACGAGGTACCTAATCGGATGGTCCAAGCATTTGCTCAGGTACCACAAGTTTGTCGAAATCTTCAGAGCTCAGCACTCCAATTTTCAATGCAGCTTCCTGAAAAATCATTTCACCTTCGCTATTTAACCAAAATATCATTCCAATCAACGAAAAACACATAAATTATTAAGGAATCAATTCATTCACATAAACACCACAAATATTAACATTAAAAGAAACTCATACAAGAGTTTCACTGCTTCTGCAAGGATACTGATACAAAGAATATGCTACTGAATTATTGTATTGAATGTTATAAAAGAGAGGTCAAAATATACAAAATATATTAGAATTAATTAACAAATTAATTTTATTATGTGACTCTCATTTCAAATATTATGATATAATATTTCAAATATAAAGAACTCTAGATTATTACGAGAAGTTATAATAAAATAAAATAAAGATAAAATGATGAATGTTGATTTATAAAAGAGATTATAATTCTGTTTTTTTTTCATAAGGTTATTTTAAAAGACAGAAATAAAATGAGAAAATGAAGTTGAAGAACATATATGAAGAAATATTCTCATACTATTTCTTACGAATCAAGGCTAGTATATTATGATTATGTTACGAGGATTATAAATATTAAGGTCCTAAAGTAGTTTTCTAGAACGGACTATAATAACATAGGAAAACTACAAATTAATTTATTGTTAGATTTATAATTCTCCTTAATGATGTTTGTTCATAAATTATGTTTTTCCCAAAAATTATAATGAACCCTACTTTATACTTTTTTCTAATTTTTTACAAATCCTAATTATTAGGTTTAGGGATTTGATGTTAGCGCTGCAGATGATAAAATTGATAGATGATTTTCGCTGCATGTTATTGAATTAATTCATCATTGGAAATTCAAATATCAATTTCTCTTGGGACATGGATCAAGTGCATTGAAAGCAATTCAAGAATTGGTTTTTCTTTTATCTTATTGTCATCGAGTGATTTAAGTGCGACCACATTATTCTTATTATTTTTATATATTTGATTATGAATAATAATAAAATCAATTTATACTTCATTATGCGATATGATTTATGTATTAAATCACAAAATGTTATCATATCGTATGAAACAAGTGAAAGAATGTTAGAATTAACATATAAATTCATCCTATTATGTGATTCATTTGTAATATCATAAGAGACCCAAATGTAATTTAATAAGATATATTATTATGGAAAGTTATAATAAAATAAAATAAAACCGAACTTGATGGATATTGCTTTATAAAAAAGACAAATTTTGTCTCTGATCATAAGATTCGTTCATAATAAATCATCACGAAAGTGTAAGATGAGAAAAAAAAAGACAAAAAGATAGATTGAAGAAAAAGATTGGAAAATAAAAATTGAAAAATATATTATCATAAAATCTCTTATGAATAAAAGTTAATATTCTGTTATGATTATATTGTAAACTGTAATAATTTTCTAGAATGAAATAAGAAAATAGAAAAACTACAAGTTAACTTGCTAAACAAACACAAGAGAAGAGAAGTATAACATGCAATCATCACCTTAAGAGTAGTTCCCTCTTTGTGGGCTTTCTTGGCAACAGTCGCTGCCTTGTCATAACCAATTTTCTGAAACAGACAAATAAAATTAAATTTCTCAGAAGAATATAAAAGTTAGGTAATTTCATGATAGACGAAAGGAAACTTACTGGGTTCAAGGATGTCACAAGCATCAGTGACTGCAAGGTGAATCAAAATTGAAACATAAATAAACTAAATTAGTATAAGAAGTGTAATTAAGAAATTGATATTTTGGTTTGGTTTTGATATTTGTTTGAAATAAGTGAACAACATACCTCGTGCAGTAATTTTGAAATTCTTTCCTTATTAGCTTCAATACCTCTCACACAATGCTTTTCAAATGAAGCAGCTGAATCTCCCAGCAGTCTTACCGACTGCCAAAATTAAAAGGGAAAAGACATTCGGTGCGTCTTTTAGGTAATGCAGTGAGATACAATATTCAAAATTTCTAAATGGCTTAAAATGTATGAACCAAACTAATAGCTAGTTCCGCTTTATGTGATTGATAAATTAGAAATATCATACACGAAGGAGACAACTGGCAATCATTGGCTTGAATACATTGAGCTCAAAATGACCATTTGATCCACCAACTGTGATCGCAACATGGTTTCCCATCACCTGAAATTGCGAATCATGAAAACAATTCAGGAAATTTTGTTCATCAAAAGTTCACGTTGTGACTTTATAACAAGTTACAGAAACTGTGTCTACCTGTGCGCAAACCATTGTCAAAGCCTCACATTGGGTAGGGTTAACCTTCCCCTGGAACAGAATATGGTTGTAGGTTCAAATTCCAATTTTAAGGAAAATAAATAAAATAACCATAAAACCACTGGTTTGTGTGACAAACATATAAATTCTGTCAGCACGAGAATCTTACAGGCATAATGCTGCTTCCTGGTTCATTTTCAGGAAGAATGAGTTCACCAAGACCGCAGCGTGGACCACTATATTTTTTATTGCATTATGAAAACCCATAAAAGAATATACGATTAGTTTTGTATGTATTTAACACAAGAGCAGTAATTACTGGCTACCAACCTTCCCAATAGTCGTATATCATTAGCAATCTTCATCAAAGAAGCCGCAACAGTGTTAAGGGCACCACTGGTTTCAACAAACGCATCATGAGCAGCCTGCAAAACAAGAATATATTGTGCTGCATTGGAAGCATGCCTGATGAAAAAACTAAGGTAATGAAATGAAAAAGACATATTTTACGTTAAATACAATGAGGAAAAGTTGCAGAAACAAACCAAGGCCTCAAACTTATTTTCTGCCGTAACAAAAGGCAGATTTGTTTCCTCGGCCACTGCTGCTGCTATCTTTGCATCAAACCTGAAATTTCACCCACAAAATTACCAATGCAAAAAATATCCAAATTCATAAAAATAAAATATAGAAAACACCGTTTAGTTATCAAACAAGCATACCCCTTCTTTGTATTCAATCCGGTCCCTACAGCCGTACCACCCTGAGCAAGCTGTTCATCAAGTAACATCACTGTTTAGTGAGAATCAAAACTCCAAAAGAAAATAGTGAAAAACAAGCAGTTAGCTTTTGTGCTTGATCGTTTAACCTGATACATGCGCGACATTGTCGCAATTACTCGCTCAATACCATACTTCACCTGCAGATAAAGGAAAAAACAACAACGAGAAATCACTACTGTCAGTATTAACAATGCNAGCCGCAACAGTGTTAAGGGCACCACTGGTTTCAACAAACGCATCATGAGCAGCCTGCAAAACAAGAATATATTGTGCTGCATTGGAAGCATGCCTGATGAAAAAACTAAGGTAATGAAATGAAAAAGACATATTTTACGTTAAATACAATGAGGAAAAGTTGCAGAAACAAACCAAGGCCTCAAACTTATTTTCTGCCGTAACAAAAGGCAGATTTGTTTCCTCGGCCACTGCTGCTGCTATCTTTGCATCAAACCTGAAATTTCACCCACAAAATTACCAATGCAAAAAATATCCAAATTCATAAAAATAAAATATAGAAAACACCGTTTAGTTATCAAACAAGCATACCCCTTCTTTGTATTCAATCCGGTCCCTACAGCCGTACCACCCTGAGCAAGCTGTTCATCAAGTAACATCACTGTTTAGTGAGAATCAGAACTCCAAAAGAAAATAGTGAAAAACAAGCAGTTAGCTTTTGTGCTTGATCGTTTAACCTGATACATGCGCGACATTGTCGCAATTACTCGCTCAATACCATACTTCACCTGCAGATAAAGGAAAAAACAACAACGAGAAATCACTACTGTCAGTATTAACAATGCAACATAAATGAAAGCGAAAATATGAAACAGCTCGAGCCAACACAAGCAAGCTTACTTGTGTAGTGTACCCACTAAATTCTTGCCCAAGAGTCAAAGGTGTTGCATCTTGAGTATGAGTTCGTCCTATCTTCACAATATCTTCGAATTCAATTGACTGAAAAAGAGAAAGCAATGATAAAAAAACCATTTAGAGAAATTCAATTACACAGCCATATGCCTTCAGTCTGTAAATAATTTTTCTTCTCAGAGACCACTTATTTTTATCCAAGTTATAGGTTTCTAATATGTTTTCTGATATAAGAACTCATCAGCTATTCGCAAATGCAAAGTGCATAAACGATAACCTCAAAGGAAAAGTGAGACAAAGAACCAGATAAAACCACTAGCTCATATATATGAACTACAATTCAAACCTTTAAGTTTAGTGTATCATGCAAGATTTTCAGGCTGGGGATTAGTCTTGAGTTTATTTCCTTTGCAGCTGCAATGTGCATTACCTGGAAAGAAGTAAACAAACACAAATTAAAAAGAAAACAATATTTTAAACAAGGTAGGACAGTAGATAAACAAAGTATAAGAAACCGTATATCAGGAATTGTACTATATTGATACCGAGCCTAATCAATAAGAAATTTGGATATATATATATGATTATAAGATGCTTACAGTTGGGAATGTATCATTTGAAGACTGTGATCTATTGACATGATCATTTGGGTGTACAAACTTTTCACCACGCTTACGGCCAAGAATCTCTGCTGCTCGGTTTGCAATAACCTGAAAAGTTGAGGGGAGAAAAAACAATAATCTTGGTAGGAACCTAAAGTGTGTGCTGCCGAAGTTTAATTTTGATCACAAATAATTGTAGAAACCTCGTTAGCATTCATGTTACTCTGTGTGCCACTTCCAGTTTGCCATACAACGAGTGGAAAATGTTCGTTCAGTTTTCCTTCTGCTACTTCTTGAGCTGCTTGCATTATCGCTTCTCCTACATTAGGATCAAGACCATACTCCATGTTCACCTGCATTGCATTCAGATATTGGTCCTTTGATCAAATATATGTTCTAAATTTAGTATAACTTTTCAACTTTCATTTTACGTTTTATTGCTTATAAAATTATTTATCTAAGTTCTACAATATATTTTTAGCATTTCATTTTTACTAAAATGATAAATTAATTCATTTAGATTGTTTTATCAGATTCATGTTAGATATCATCATATACTATAATATCTTAAATATCTTAATAGACTGATATTTCAAAATATACAAATTATTTATCATCATATACAAAAAGATATATGGCAAATTTTAAAAAGTAACTAAACGATTATAAACATTATAAATTTATATTTATTATTAAAAAAACAATATCATATAATTTATAATGAATTTTATTCTCATTTCATCTACCATTTAACACATTTAATATAAAAATATTTCAGTAATTTTGTTTTTCAAAAACTAATTTTTACAATAATAACTAAAAATATGGTATTATAAACCTCTCACTAATATACTTCACTACAATTTTTTTTTAATGACCTTAATTTCACCATTTTAGTGATGGAATGTAAATTGATTTTGTATGTTAGACCTATAAGATAAAAGCTCAAGATTAGAAAAAAAACCAGATAGGATTCTAGAAAATCCTAGATAAAAGGATTCTAGAATTATGTACAAAAATATCTATAGATGCTTATCTATAAGATGTCTCTAGATAAATTTAGAATTATAGGAATGTTTTAGAAATATCTAGATAATGAATAATAACCTTTAGATTAATGTTATGGTGACAAGATCCTAATCATTGGTTAAGGAGGTGTCACTAGTATAAATAAGGAGTGATTGTATCATTTGTAATTAAGCCCAAAAAAAATAGAAACATTCAATACAACAAGTCTTTCCTTCTCTTAAAATCTTTCAACCTCTCCCAATTTTAAAAACTTCCTTCAAACCTCTAAAATTTTCTCCCAACAAAGTGGTATCAAGAGCCATAAAATCATCATAAAAATGACAACTATAGAACTTCCCTTTCAAGTCACGATTCTCACCAAGAGCAACTATGACAATTGAAGCTTAAGAAGAGTTTGAGAGACTCAAGGAAGAAAGACAAGAAATCTCTTTGTCTAATCTACCAAGGATTAGACGAAGATACTTATGAGAAGATTTCTAGAGTCAAGTCAGTCAAGGAAGCATGGGAGAAGCTTAAGATCTTTTTCAAGGGAGTAGATCAAGTAAAAAGGTACGTCTTCAAACTTTGACAAGAGAGTTTGAAGCTTTGCATATGAGGGAAGGTGAACTAGTCTTTGATTACTTTTTAAGTTTTTAACGATTACTAATCAACTAACAAGAAGTGGTGAAAAGTTAAATGATGTAAGAATTATGGAGAAAATTCTTAGATCATTAGATCTAAAGTTTGAACATATTCTCACCATTACCGAAGAAACCAAAGACTTGGAGGCCATGTCAATAGAGCAACTTATTGGTTCGTTGCAAGCTTATGAAGAAAAGAAAAAGAAGAAGGAAGAGATCGTGGAACAAGTCCTTAAGGCACATGTTGCTTCAAGAAAATAAGAAAACACACGCAACCAATCAAGAAGAAGTTATAGTCGAGAACATGGACAATGGTGTGCATATGGACATGGACAAGGAAGAAGGCCTAACAACAATAACCAAAGAGGAGAAAGCTCTAAAAGAGGTCGTGGGAGAGAAAATCCGAATTCAAGGTATGACAAGTCACGAATCAAGTGTTACAATTGTGATAAATTTAAACATTATGCTTCTGAGTGTAGAACCCTTAACAAAAATAAAGTCGAAGAGAAAGCCAACAATGTCGAAGAAAGGTGTATACCTTGTTACTAGCTTATAAAGACCAAGATAAAGGCGAGGATAATTAGTGGTACCTTGATAGTAGAGCATGTAATCATATGTGTGGAAAAAGAAGCATGTTCGTGGAGATTGATGAATCAGTAAAGGGAAACATGGCTTTTGGAGATGAATCAAAGGTGGCAGTGAAAGGAAAAGGTAATGTCCTCATCCGACTAAAGAATGAAGAACATCAATTTATTTCCAATGTGTATTATGTGCCAAGCATGAGAAGTAACATCTTGAGCTTAGGAAAACTCTTAGAGAAAGGTTATGATATTCAACTTAAGAATAATAACCTTTCTATAAGAGATACTAAAAGTAAATTCATTGCAAAGGTGTCAATGACAAGAAATAGAATGTTTGTGCTCAACATACAAAGTGATGGCCCACAATGTCTAAAGATGTGCTACAAAGACCAATCATGGCTTTGGCATCTTCGATTTGGCCATCTAAATTTTAAAGGATTAGAGTTGCTCTCCAAGAAGGCAATGGTGAGAGGACTGCCTTGTATTACTCACCACAACCAAGTTTGTGAAGGATGTTTACTTAGAAAACAATTTCGATTGAGTTTTCTAAATGAGTCGGACTCAAGAGCTCAAAAGCCATTAGAACTCCTACACGCAAATGTGTACAGCCCAATCAAGCCATGATCACTCGGTAAGAGTAGTTATTTCCTTCTTTTCATTGATGATTTTTCAAGAAAAACATGGGTATATTTCTTAAAAGAAAAATCAGAAGTATTTGAGAACTTCAAGAAGTTAAAAGCCCATGTTGAGAAAGAAAGTGGTCTTGTGATCAAAGCTTTGAGATTCGATCATGAAGGAGAGTTAACATCAAAAGAGTTTCAGAAGTATTGTGAAGATAATTGAGTTAGATGGGAATTGACAGTGCCAAGATCCCCTCAACAAAATGGAATGACGGAAAGGAAGAATAAATCAATCTTGGAGATGGCAAGGAGCATGCTTAAAAGAAAGAGACTTCCAAAGGAGTTTTAGGCTGAAGTCGTTGCATGTGCTGTTTATCTTAGCAACCACTCTCCAACAAGAAGCACTAATGGAAAAACAACACAAGAAGCATGGAGTCGAAGAAAGTCAGGTATTTATCATCTAGAGTCTTTGGATGCATTACTCATGTCCATGTAAGAAGTAAGCTTGATGACAAAAGTGGAAAATACGTCTTCATTGGTTACGATGCCAACTCCAAAGGGTACAAACTCTACAATCCTGATACAAGGAAAAAAATCATTATTCGAAATGTAGTGTTTGATGAAGAATGAGATTGGTCGACAAACTGTAAGGACCATACCTTTTTCTCATGCATTGAAGAAGATGATGTGGAACAACCACAACAATCGAAGAGGCACCTATTATTCCACCTGCTTCATCAAATACAACCCCTTAAGAAGATGAAAGCTCAAGTGAAGAACTCCACATTTTCGAAGTCTTCAAGAAATCTAGACAATGTTACCTTATTATGTATATTTGTATATTGTGGGCCCATGATATTCAAAGAAGCAATTGAAAAGAAGAGTTGGAGAAATGTTATGGATGAAGAGATTAAGACGATGAAGAAGAATGATACGTGGGAGCTAGTCTCGCTTCCAAAAGGCACAAAGCAATTGGTGTAAAGTGGGTCTACAAAGCAAAGAAGGAATCCAAAGGAGAAGTTTAGAGATACAAGGCAAGATTGATGGCGAAAGTCTATAGTCAAAGAGCTGACATCGATTATGACGAGGTATGATCTTGTTGCTCGATTAGAAATTGTTAGACTTATTATATCATTAACAGCTCAAAACAATTAGAAGATACATAAAATGGATGTCAAATTTATCTTCTTAAATAGAGTTCTTGAAGAAGAAGTCTACATTGAGCAACCACAAGGATATGAAGTCAAAGCTGAAGAATACAAAGTCTTGAAATTAAAGAAGACTCTTTATGGGCTGAAACAATCCCCTAGAGCTTGGAATGTTATGATTGACAAGTACTTCAAAGAAGCGAATTTCATAAGTGTTCATATAAGCATGCACTCTATATCAAAGCTCAAGGCGGCGATATTTGATTGTATGCTTGTATGTCGATTCTTGATTTTTACAAGGAACAATCCAAGCATGTTTAAGGAATTCAAGAAGGATATGACTGTGGAATTTGAAATGACCGACATGGGGCTTATGGCATACTATCTCAAAATTGAAGTAAAGCAAGGCAATGAAGGAATTTTTATTACTCAAGAAATTTATACTAAAGACCTCCTCAAGAAGTTCAAGATGGATGATGTTAATTTAGTTGGTACTCCTATGGAATGCGACATCAAGTTGAGTAAGGATGAAGATGAAGAAAAAATGGATCCAACCCTCTATAAAAGTCTTGTTAGAAGTTTGTTTTATTTAACTTGTACAAGACTATATATTCTCTATCTCGTCAGAGTTGTGAGTCGCTACATGGAAGCTCCAACAACTACTCACTTCAAGTCAAGAAAGAGGATTCTTCGATATATCAAAGGTACAATTAGCTTTGGCCTATACTACTCTATTTTTAATGACTACAAGCTTGCTGGATAGAGTGATAGTGACTGAAGTGGAGATATGGATGACCAAAAGAGCACAAGTGGATTTGTGTTCCACATGGGTGACACAACATTTACTTGGATGTCCAAGAAGTATCATATTGTCACTCTTTCTACATTTGAAGCAGAATATGTAGCTGCAACTTCATGTATTTGTCATTTTGTTTGGCTATGAAACCTATTAAAGGAGTTAAACTTGTCATAAGTGGAGCTAACAAAGATTTTCGTGGACAACAAGTCGGCAAATAACATTTTAGAATTCTAGAAAATCCTATCTAAAAGGACTCTAGATTGATGTGCAAAAATATCTAGAGATGCTTATCTATAAGATATCTCTAGATAAGTTTAGAATTATAGGGTTGTTTTAGAAATCTCTAGAGAATGAATAATAACCCTTGGATTAATGTTTTGCTGGCAAAATCCTAACCATTGGTTGAGGTGTTATTAGTATAAATAGAGAATGATTGTATTATTTGTAATCAAGCCAAAAAAAATAAAAATTAGAAGCATTCAATACAACAAGTGTTTTCTTCTCTTAAAATCTTCCAACCTTTTCCAATTTTAAACACTTCCTTTAAGTCTTTAAAATTTCCTCCTAACATTTACCTCTTTTAGATTATGTTTTGCACTGAATACACATTTTCATTTTTAAACTTCTTAATAAACAGCAAACATAATCTCAAATTTCCCCATAACTCACTACGGTGGAACTCGCACATGCAGGTAAACAACCAAATTCACTATAAAACTGAATATATGTTTTTTGAATTCCTGTTTTTCTTAGTGTATACACGAATGCACTTGCTGAAATTGGTTGCTTCTCTAGCATCACATCAATAGACATGGATGGATTCAAACTAGTGATAAAAGGAGTCTTATAAGAATTAGATGGTATTGACCATATGCTTACACATGTGCTCTAAGTGTCATAAATTATTATTTTATATTGCTCCATTTTTTCTCTAAATCTGTTAAAAAATGAATTTCATGCATTTTGAACGTGAGACTAAACATTAATAAGTAGTATAATAAGAAGTGAAATAATAGACTCAACAAACAAAAAGTTTCATTAGAATAACTTTTAGCTGAATGATATGATATCATATTAAAAAGTAAATTTTAAACCTAATTGAATCTTACAAAATCAATTTATAAAATAAGATTTACTATTATAAGTTGACTTTATCTTTAGCCATTATGAAATATATAACAAAATCCCTTAAATTATCCAAATGGAAATTTAGACAAATGCACCACTTCAGGCCGATATTGAGGTTTATGAAAGGATAAATTTCTCGAACTGAATCTTTAATCCAGATCATGGATTCGCATGCAGTGATCAACAGATAATTAAAAACCTCCAAATGCTCTCCCAAATGATAACTCCGCTATGGATTCGCATACACACCGTCATCAAATAAGACTTATTCTTAAAATCAGGTTGATGCATGTAATGTCGCTGTGAAGAGAACAACAATTTCGATCGTTCATTCCAATTCAAAGAATTGTTCATCCCTAACCCTCCACTCACGAAAATTAGTGCCATCAAACATAGAAAATTGTATATGCGCTCGTTCAAGAACGAACAAATTTGCATCATGGGCAACCGAAACGGCTTCAACATTATTCAAAATAGTCTATAAACCTTCAATTAATTGTTGTAAAGACATCAATATTTGATTTCTGATTTCTTGATAATCCTAGACATATGCTCTCCACTACCTCTTTTGCTTTCTGCTCTCTAAACACAGTTTCAAGTTTCAAACTTCCTTATAAGCACCTGACGCTCCAAAATTCATTATGGTGGCACTCACACACGCCGTTACACACAATAAATCACTATATAATTTAATATTGATGTACCATTTTTTTTATGTATTATTGAAGATTAGTTTTTATAATCGATAGTTTCATTAAAAAATATTAAAATTTAATAAATATGTTAGAAATCTCAAATCAATTATAGATAAGATAAGATTATCATATAACTGGATATAGAATTCATCTTACAAGTTTATTTTGTAAAATTAAATTAAATTTAAAGTTTAATTCTAAAAAAAGAAATAGGATGTGAAATGATTGATCCAATATATTGTTAACTGAGAAAAATTAATTGGGTTAAATTGAATTTATTTTAAGAATAACTTGAATGGAAATTGAGATGATTTGAAAGATGAAAATAGTAAAAAATAAAAAGTAAGAGGTTATAAAATAGGCATGATTGATGTAAAGATCAGTGGAATGTATATATATTGAACCTTGGCAGCGCATTTCTTCAAGATGCCAAAGGCGCGAACGATGGGTAGAGGCATGCGTTCAGAAAGGCCACCAATATGAAAGTTGTGCAACGATCTCTGAGTTTGTGCTCCCCATAATCTAATTAACAAAACAACTCATTCTCAGCTTTAAAACAAAAACACAGAGGAAATACAAAGATAAAGTAAATAACTTGTCCAAAGGAACTTCAATTGATCCAAAGCTATCTCTTTCTTCTCTCATCCAACCCAAAGCCATCATGCTCTTCTTTCCTTCAAATCTAACTCATAAACCTTTTAACCACAAATAAGTAATCACTTCACCAGACACTTTCCTTTTCCAGATTTAAAGCAATTTCCTAATAATATCACCAATGCCGTCCGACCAGGAATCCATCTCACGGATCAATAATTCTCAAACATTAAACTCACACTGCACTTTCAATAAAACACCCTTTTCTTACACCAATTATTAAATATTTATAAAACTATTATAGCTACATCTATTTTCAATTTAATTAATATCAACACTAAAACACTTTCATGTCAACTATTTAACTTCAATTTTGTGCTTTTCATTTTATTTTATTCAAGGTATGTTTCAATTTCCAATTTTTCTATGCAATTCATAATAATTTACCTATGCAATTTGCGAGTCAAGCTTCAAAACTTTGCAAGTTTTTTATGACAACAACCAAAATTAGTTTAGAATCACCTTCTACACAATAATTTTATCACTAACTAATTTATCATTTTTATTTTTAGCTTTGATAATATATTTCAAATTTAATAAAATTCCTCAAAACATAATTTATTCCTCAAATCATCCTTGCACAACATAATTGACATAACAATTGTTTAAATCATTAACATGTTTGTGCTAGATGTATTAATCATGAAAGGATAAATGAAATAAGCCTAAATAGATTGAGAATCTATATTTCTGGTAGTATTAATCTATTACATAAGTAATTTAATCCATTAGATTAAGTTAGAACACATAGAATGCAAAAACAGGGCAAAACATTTTGTTATAATCGATTACATTAGTTACATAATCGATTAAAACAGAGATAAAGACATAATCTGTTATACACATAGTATAATCTGTTAGAGAGAGAAAATGAAAGAGAAATAAGGCATAATATTAAAATAATCGATTATATAAGTTACATAATCGATTAAAACAAAAAAAAAAATGTTTAATCTGTTATGCTAATAACATAATCTGTTAGGTTAGTTGAAAACAGTATTAAGCTTAACTGCCAACATAATCGATTATATAAGTGACATAATTGATTAAAACAGAAAGAAAAACATAATTGATTAAACATCAACAAGATCTGATTTTTTATATAAATCAGACTTGACACTTGACTCTTAGCTCATTGGTGATCAAGCAATCAAGAATTCGTTTAAGACACATTGGAATTCATATGTTCTGATCTTTCTGCACTATTGGAGTGTTATATAATCAGGCTCTTATTCATTTGATGTAATTTGATACTTGTGTTGGGTACTACCAGACTCATTATGAACGAGACGTAGCAGAAGCCATTAGGACTCTCAAAACCACCATTACCAAAAAAGATACACAGAGACCCCAAAATTTTATTAGAGTTTGTAATGATGGATTCAGATGGATTGAAGATGGATTACCCCTTTCATTTGTAATGTGTTGATTTTTTTAGATTGAGAAAGTTAAAAGAAAGAAGAAGGAAGGAGGAAAAAGAAGATGAATCAGATCGAGATATTTACTGACAGATTTTTCTTGTAATTACTGACAATTTTTTTCTTCTCTAATTACCAACAAAAATAAAATTTTATCCGTAAATGTTACCGACTATACTATTACTGACAGATTTTAATTTGTTAAAGATTTACCAAAGGAAGTTGTTACCGACAATTTTTAATGTTTTCCACAATTTTTTTACTAAATTATTTTGTAATATATATGGTATATTTGATTAAATAATATACTAGTATTATTATCACGTTAATATATCATAAGTTTTTATTACTTTTTTTAATAACATATTTTATAGAGCTTAAAAACCTTAACATATTTTATATTTTTTTTAGAATATAATTCAATTTATACTTATTACTTTACTCTCATATTTTAAAACTCTATTACTAATTTGAACGTGGAGAGTCTGTCAACTTCGAACTCAAATAAGAACACTGAAATCTTATACGAAATAATTAATAAAGCTTCCATGAGGACTGTCATTATGTCATTTGCGTTTTCATGTGATAAATTGTCATAAATTTAGAAATTAGAAAATTAAAGTCAATAATTCATTATGTTACGGCGAATTATGTTAAAAGAGAAGTCCGGGGCTGCACATTAGTAGTAACACATGTCCTGAATATATTAAAATTGTAGTTAGTGATTATGCAACCTGCAGATCAATTTATAAATTATACAAACACTTCTTTACATAAATCAATAAAATGAAACACGTACTTCCCACTAAAATGTGTGCATGAAAACTTCTGGTTAAGTGGATGACCTAATTGTAGTATGGTGAAGAATTATAAAAGTTGGATGGCCTAATTGTAGTATGGTTAAGAGAATTATTACAAATTTGCAATTCGAAAGCCATTGGAAATAAAATGCAAGGACAATAAATAACATTTTTCTCTTTATGTGGGTAAGTACGTTTCTTCAATACATTGTCTCGTTACAAATTTGGAAGAGCCCTTCCCACACGAATATCAATTAAGGAAGCCAAAATTATTGAATATTGGATTGCCATTTCTCAATCCAGTCAATGGGTATGGTTAAAAATTTCTACCTCAATGTAGCCGATGATGAAACAAGGAATTATCAGAACAAAACATTATGAACCATTCAATCGGATGGTCCAAGCATTTTCTCAGGTACCACAAGCTTGTCAAACTCTTCTGAGCTCAGCACTCCGAGTTTCAGTGCAGCTTCCTAAACAATCATTTCAATTTGAATATTTAGTCACAACAATATATTGGACATCCACGAAAAGCATAGAAATTATTAAGGAATCATTCATTCATATAAACAACACAACTATTAATGACGGTGACCAATAAAGGAGTTTAAATGGTTCTGCGTCTACAAGGATACTCGTATAAAGAATATGCTTCTTAAATTTTGATTTGTTAAAAGAGAGGTAAAAATAAGCAAGACAAAATAACAAAACAAGTATAACAGGGCATCATTGTCACCTTCAGAGTAGTCCCCTCTTTGTGGGCTGTCTTGGCAACTGCCGCTGCCTTGTCATATCCAATTTTCTGTAACAGACAGACAGATTTATTCAGTTTCAAAACAATTTGAAAATTATGAAGTTAAAGGAGTAGACGCTAGGAAACTTACTGGGTTCAAGGATGTGACGAGCATAAGTGACTGCAAGGTGAATTAAAAGTAAACATTAGTTTAGCACAAGGGTGTAAATCTAACTGGCATTATCTGAGATTTGATTCAAATAAGTCAGCAACTCACCTCATGCAGTAATTTTGAAATTCTTTCCCTATTAGCTTGAATACCTCTCACGCAATTCTTTTCAAAGGAAGCAGATGAATCTCCAAGCAGTCTCAGTGACTATCACAATAAAAATAAAGATTAGGCATTTCCGTACATCTTTTAGGGAATACAGTAGAATCTACTAATTTCTATTGCAAAATTCGGGAGTAATCATAAAAGCCACCCTGGTGTCCTTATTTTGCACATGCCCTAGCTTTTGGTGCATCACCGTATACCATTTCATCACGACAGCACATGAACAGTATAGAAAACAAGAAAAGTAAAACCTAATAAAGCATCTTCCATCCCCATTTCCTATTTTACTGCCATAGCAATGAGAGAATCTAACTTTCCAGCCAAGTCCACCTGACTTATCACAAATTTTCTGATGCGAACTGACAGAGGAACAATATAGAAATTAACTTACGCTCCCGTATATTAAGCTTAGTGATGCTTGAACAATCTCGTTTTCTATAACCATGTGTGGTTGTAGTTTTAGAAGTCCAAGTGTAAGTATGCAAAATAGAATTCAGTTTCCTTTTCATTACATTAATGTGACAGCCAAAGCAATAATCTCTAGCTAAGCTTTATAATTTCTCGTAAAAAATTTGAACCACTGTGATTGATAGATTAACAATAACATAACACATATTATATACAACACATACATGCAGGAGACTACTGGCAATCATTGGCTTGAACACATTGAGCTCAAAATGACCATTTGATCCACCCACTGTAACTGCAACATGGTTTCCCATGACCTGAAATTTATAAATCATGACACCAATTCAGAAAGTTCAAGTCACCAAACTGTGTGATTTATTACCAAGTCATGTAGACTCTGTGCTAATCAGTACTTCACTAATAAGTATTTCAATAAAATGAAGTCAATTGATGTCTACCTGTGCACACACCATTGTCAAAGCCTCACACTGGGTAGGGTTAACCTTCCCCTGAAACAGCATATGGCCGTGGCTTAGAAGTCAAATTCCAATTGTAATGCAAATAAAATAATGAACTATATAGCAAGTAACAAGAAAACAACTGGTTTATGTAACAAATATAATTTCAGTCAGCATGAAAATCTTACAGGCATAATACTGCTTCCCGGTTCATTTTCAGGAAGAATGAGTTCACCAAGACCGCAACGTGGACCACTATATTTGGATAGTAATTAAAAATCATAAAAGAATATGATTAATTTTCTATTGAACATAATAAGCAAACCGTCAATCAGTGTCATAAGTAGGCACCGTACCTTCCTAATAACCGTATATCATTACCAATCTTCATCAGAGAGACCGCAATGGTATTAAGGGCTCCACTGGTTTCGACAAAAGCATCATGGGCAGCCTGCAAAAGGAGAATATTAACACACTACAAGCCAATGTTTTACTTCGTGTAAAGCAACTTCAATGAAAGAATCTGACGTAATGAAATAACACATGACACATTAAATAAAAGGAGCGGAAAAGTTGTAGTAACAAACCAAGGCCTCAAACTTATTTTCTGCCGTAACAAAAGGAAGATTAGTTTCGTCTGCCACAGCTGCTGCTATCTTAGCATCAAACCTGAATTTTATCCAGAAAACTGTCACTGTTTATCCAAATTTATTGCTTCAAAAGTTGAATTCTTTTGAGCCTAAAAGGGAAGGCCGGTGGTAATAGTTATTTTCACAATAAAACAAACTCATAAACAGAAGGTCGCTAGAGGGTATAGAAAATATCCATTCTTCAACAATTAAATCCATAATAAATTAAAATCAGTGGTGGAAAATGTGCATGCATGTCAGTCCAGGCAACTTCCATTCATTGATGGTACCGAATGATGGTACAAATGTAGACTGCGAATATGCTAAACAGAATGAAAAAGAAAACTGCTATTTTGGTAAA